ACTTGAACGGCGGTATGGGCTGTTATTGAAAGTGTTTAAGTGCTGGAAATATGCTCATTGGATAATAGTTTGCAGGGTGCTTTTAATTGCCTCCTTGATTTAATGCAATTTACGTATTTTTATTGTTTGCTCTCTCTCTTTAACGTGCATATACAACGTCATTATCGTGGTCTGCACAAACTTGTCATCATGTGTGTATTCTGCTAACTGCAATGTCCATAACTATTTGATAGGAATACATTTCTAGCCTAGGCTATTTCCTTGTTTTTCGGTGATTTAGTGGGCTCGTTTGTTGGATGTTGCGGATGAGTTTCACCGAGACCGCCTGCTCTGAACAACCAATCACCGTACTGACCGCTTCTAAACTCATGCACGAGAATCGACGTAATCCATAGCAACGGCGCGTCACTCTTAGTTCACTCTTAGTGATTTATCCTTAGTATGAGTAGGTCTCAGCGGCTTTGTGAATAACTTTTAAGAAAAAACTCCTACGTAAAATGTTTTAGCGCGAGTTAGGAGCACTCCTAGCGGTAAGATAAAATGCTTTGTGAATACGGCCCCAGATCCATATTTATTTTTGAAAGATTGTTATTTAGGCACTGTTATAGTATTTAAGCACATAATCTACGTAGAGTTTTATCCTGATTTTGAATAGATTGTAGAAGATTAATGAACCTGGAGAGACAGCCGGATAGTCGGGCGATAATACTCTGCATAACACTGATCAGTGTTGAAGCACAGATACACTCCATCTCACAGGAGTTTACACAACCACCCCATAATCTGACTATTGTTGTGAAGCAACGGACTGTGCAAAGGACGCTTACCTCTGATATTCCAAAGAAAAAGCACACACTCTACACTTCATTTGAGTCCTTCACAAATGAAAAGTTGAGCAACTTGGTTACTGTTCCTTAGTCATGCATGTACAGAATATAACTCAAAAACATGGCAGTCAGTCAGATAAGCAGTACGCTGCACAAGACAGAAGCCATGTGCTGGTCGACCATTTATAACAATATTGGTATTTTTTAAGTATTCCCCTTAGGCCTTTTAAAAGGAGAAATAATTCCATCAAAAATAAGCGCCTAATGTGAGGTCTAGAATAGATTTTCTCTATGCATATTAATATTTACTTAATAAATTACGACAAAAGTCAATCAATTTTCAAAATTGCTACTAATCATTTTAGAAGTAATAAAGTGAATTAGCCCTGTGTCCGTGTGTACGAATAGATAATGAGGTGATGATGACCATCGATGAGAGGAAGATGGTTACCCGTGTGAGCTGGTGTGTATCTGCTGCAGGACAAGCCACAGAAACCTTTTTCCAGCTGCCTTAAAGAATGCAACATAGTCATTCTCTGCATGTGTTTATGGAGAGTGTGTGCATGAGCCAGTGTGTGTAGAGGAGATCAGATGAGTGTGTCACATGACTTTCTTGTTCTTTGTCTGGAGAATCATTGCAGTGACTTTAAAGTTGGTAGAAAGTCATGTCAAAATGTGATGTCTCTGTGTGTCGGGGCTGTCCTCTGTGTGTTCCTACTGTCTGTTCGTCTGCACTTTAAAACTCATTTGCAGATTTAGTGTTTTATTGCATCACAGCCTTGTTGTGGATACATAAGCTTTACTCTACCTGTTGTTTCTTGTCTTATGTTTCGATAAATGCCACGGTGTCATCACTTAAGTGTTCTGCATTGTCTGTTTTAGGGCCATACCATAGCAGGGTTTGTGTCTCACTGCTGTCATACAATTATGCGATCATAATCTTTTCAGACTGCATGTTAAGTGAAAGCTGATGCTCAGATAAATCCTCCTGTCTGTCTTCCTCTCGGTTTCTTTCCTTGGTTTTAGAGCAGCGTATTTGTTTTCATAGAGAGGTGTTGCCTTTCTACTGTTCTCAATCAAATACGTAGGGGGTTAGTAAGCACTCTACTTAAGACAGGTGTAACAAAACCCCAAAATGGCCAATATATAATATATTACACACCCTCGTAATGTGTTATACCTTTTTTATCCATCATTTGGGGTAGCAGGCAGGGGTTTATTTTGTTCAAGTTAAAAAGGAGATTAACGGGAAAACATTTCAGAAACGTTGGTCACGTTGGAGGTTTACACACATTGCTGACTATTCAACCAGTTACAGTGTTTTATGACTTTATTGGACCTAGAATAATTGTATGTAGACAAGGTTCTAGTTGGTTACTCTACTTGTTGATTGGAGTGATTATTGTCTGCATCAAACTCAAAATGGAGTCAAATTGCCTTATGAGAGCATTGTGAAGGCTTTTGGTTGAAACAGTGAAAGCCACATTCTTGTTCCTCTGCTAAATCCCTTTATTACATTATCCTGTTTCTACGTCCTGTTTAGGGTTGCCTTTCCTGTCTGTGGCGTCACATACACTGAATATACTCCGATGTGCTCCCTGCTGCCAGACACATGCCACTGCACACAGCTTTTAAACAACAATCAATGTCAAACCTCTATATTACACTCCAGTGCTGTGTCTAATGACTTCTGTTTAGTGAGCCAATCAGGATCACTTCTGGCCCATTATATCTGATTCTGCATTGGAGAGGTCATGGGTATCTTTCCTGATATAACCAGTATTTACTGTCAGATGCAGCACTGTCCCATTACAACTGTATGCAACTACCAGTGGCATGTTAGTAGTTACTCTAATCTGTGTTTAAAGCTGGGAAACACAGGGGGCCGAATCAAAAACGGTTTATCTGTGGTGGGTTTTTATGATAAGTAACTTAAATACACGTGTGTGTGTGTGTGTGTGTGTGTGTGTGTGTGTGTGTGTGTGTGTGTGTGTGTGTGTGTGTGTGTGTGTGTGTGTTTGTGTTTGTCTGTTTCCTTGTGTAGGCAAACAGCATGTTGACATACTGTTATAAGAAATCTTCAGCCTAGGTAGGTTTTCTGAGAGTTGCATTGATGTGCAAACACATCATTTTATTGAGTTTTAATAGTAGCTGCTGGTCTTTCTCAGTTTGATCCTCTTGCAGTAATGCACATAATATTAGTAACATTACATCATGTAACATACATAATGCATAAAAATGACAGCACAAATCATTTTTAAATTAAACTAAACATCCGAGATCAGCATATTGCACACAACATTGGCAAATCCCAGATGACGTCCTGTGCACTGAAGTGTACCGTTTCTGATTGGCTGTCACACACTATTGCCTTTTGCAAGTGAGACGTGCGCTATTTAGGGAACTGGGCTTGATTTAGGAACACGTCACAAAGACACAATGAGGGCACAGTGCACTATGGCCAAAATGATGATACGGGATGAGATCTTCACACAATAATTTTTGAAAATCACACATGTTATCAAACCATTATAGATATATACTTACAAAATTACAGGTGAGGTCACAGCGAAAATTACCGACACACAAAATGAAACACAAGCAAATGTACTCATACATGCACAACCACACACACAACAAATAACCAGAACACATGCGTTCCTTCGAGCATGCCTACACGAGGGAAACAGTGTGAAATTGAAACCAAAGACACAACAGAAGGAGAAAATTAGAAAAAAGGTGCAGCACACGGAGAGATCAGCCTGAATAATGTCAGTGGGAAGTACAATGGTCAGCCAGAAGAACAGATAAGGGCATGGAGGTGAAGAGGAGGAGTTGGGGGGCAGGAGAGGGACTGATACCTACCCTGCCCTGCTGCTATCTAGCTCCCAGCCTCTGGACTGGCCTGGTCTGGGCTCGGCTCTGCTGTCTCACTGGGGCAGGGCGACCCAGAGCCACATGCCTAGAGAGGGGGAGGAAGGGAGAGAACAGATGGGAAGAAAGGGTTGATGGAGGAGAAGAGGAGAAGGAAATAAAGGGGATTAGAAAGTAGACATAGAAGAATACATCTGAAAGAAGGGTCGCAGTTTGGCAAAAACTCCAAGAGTAGAGTAGTAAACAGGAAGCAAGAGAAAAAGGTGTCAATACTCTAAAGAAGGAATAAGGACAGAGAGAAGCCCCAGCCCACACTGTCTCTTTCAGAAACACAACCATACTAACACAATCACACACGAGCACTAATTTACTGTTCTCTTTTATTAAAAACCTTAATTCTGTCGATGCGTTGCTTTTTTCCAAATACACTTGAGTTTTTTTCCCACCTCGCCTTCGCTCCATCTTCCTGTCGTATTTTTTAACCTTTGCACGAAACTCACTCACTCACTGAGTGCCGCCACCAATGCACATTTCTCTGGATACTGTAACGCTTTGTGTCTTATTTGGGGCCTGGTGACATTTTCAGCAGTGTGAAGGTCTATTTTTTTCAAAAGAATTGCTGGATTGAAGGCGTAAAACTAATGATCCATGTCTGGGGAGTGGAGACGAAAAGAAAGAAAGAAGCAAGCATTAAAGAAACACAAAAAGAGAGAGGGAGACAGGAAGAAAAATAGCAGGGGAAGCACTACAAAAGTCTTGTTTCTTGGAAGGTCACTTAATCTACAAGGGCTTTGGTCAAAGGCAAAGGGAGTTTCTCCCCCCTAGCTAAAAACCTATTTATCTTCTCAGCTC